GGAAGGAAGGAAGGAAGGAAGGAAGGAAGGAAGGAAGGAAGGAAAAAAAGGGCCAGGTTGTACTCCCTTGTGGCTCAGCCTCTGGGAGCTAACACCCCTTTCGGAAACACATCAGTAGTTCCCCTTCCACCCAACTATGAATTAGGGCTATTGCTTAATACAGCATTTTGTTTCTCTGCTTAGACATTCTCTGCCATGAGCAGCACAGCTTTTCAGAGCTTGGACGGATTGTGCTAGAAAAGGCTTCCACTGGTGAATTCCTGTCTGTCACAGGGACAGATGGGACAGATTTTGTGGGGAGAGAGGGTAAGAAAATCAAGAAATGCATACTTATTCCAAGCAGCTCGCATCTGAAGACCTCTTAGAAATGCTGTCCTAAGCTAATTTACTGGGAAAATTAAATGGAAATCTATAAAACGGCCATGGAAACACGATTCTGGGCAGGGACCAAATTTCAGTTCTTGTATGTCAGTGTGAGTGATGTGAAGAATAGAGCAACCATCAGAGTCTGCATAATTATTATGTGTTGGCAGGAGGAGTTATCCCACTGCCATTTCCATTGACTTGAGTAACTATGGGCTTAAACCCCAAGAGTTGTACTGGTGGGGGAATTTCCCACTCTTACCAGGCTAGAGAGGTGATCCCATAGCAGCCAACTCCCAAACCATGTCATTAATTCTTGCGAAATCTATCCCATCACCCATCACTTAGCACATCGTAAAGTTTTTAAGAAGCAGAGAGGCAGCATGTCCTCCCCGGCTTTCTAAAAATAAAAAAAATTTCAGGGGTGGGGCTCCAAGTTATGCATCTTATTCCTTAATAGGCATGAGATTCTTTGGGAAGACATGTTGGAAACACAATCCCCACATTTCTTTCCTTATACTCAGAAGTTATGTGAATTATCCAGAAAGCAAATCTCTCAGGCATTGGCATGGAGATCCCCCAACTCTTCCCTTGCACTTTATTTATTCATTCATTATATTTAAACCTTTAGACATTGTACTTGGGAGGGAGGCTTGCGGGTGGAATGAATTCCCTTTTTGCTCCATGCACTGTTCTGAGTGAACAGATGTAGGATCAGGTTAGAAGTCCCTACTGATCTCTAACGGAACCCCTTCCAGATCTGTGATTCAACCCTGGAATAAGGTTATTGCTATTGTTGATTGTTTAGGCACTCTGCCTTTCCACCCAAGAGATCAAAGCAATGCACTTTGCTCCCCTCTTCCCAATGATAAACCACTTCCCAACAACCCTGTAAGAACAGTGATTGGTCTAAAGGTGAGGAGTAAAAAAAAGGGATCTTCCAAATCTCAGGCCAGCCCTCTCACCATTACACAGCTTTGGCTCTAATAACAAAAGAGTGTGTCCGATTGTGTACAAATTACATTTCCCCTGTTCTTGGGGGCCAACTCTGCGTATGCATCGCTGCTTCATACTGAACCAGATGACAGGAGGTTCATCACACCCTAACTTTCCTGTTTGGGCTAGCAGTGCTTCTCAATGGTATCTAGCTCAAAGTACAAGTTGTTTCCATCATCTCTTCCTGAGTCAATTTCCCCGTACTGTTCTTTGCATGTCTACTCAGGAATAGGTTTACTACATTTCAGGGCAGCTTACTTCTAAGCAAATATGCACAATACAGTGGTGGTCAAGTTTCAAGCTAGGAAGATAATTCTCTTGTTTGTTTGTTTGTTTGTTTTGTTTGTTTTTTTGTTTTGTTTTCCTGGTTTGAGATCCGCCAACCAGAGACAATATGATGCTGGACTGGGAAACTGTACTCCTGCCACCCATGCCATTATTGGACTGAACAGCAGGAAAAAATTTTAACTTTTAGAGCAGTATGACAATGGAACCAATTAGCTCAGGGGGTAGATTTCAACAGAAAATTGGACAGCCATCTGTCAGATCTGCTTTGATTTGGATTCCTGCAATGAGCAGAGAGTTGGATTCCATGGCCTGATAGGCACCTTCCAAATCAATTATTCCATGATTTTATGATTCTATGAATGAGCCCTAGTCAGCCCATCCAGTATTGATAAATTGTGGACATTAATAATGATGATGTGCCTTCCAGCCAATTCTGGCTTCCAGTGATCCTTTCCAGGGTTTTCTAGGTAGAGAGAACTCAGAGGGTTTTCCAATCCCTTCTTCTGGGGGCGTCCTGGGACCGCGCAGCTCACCCAGGGCTGCAGAGGCTGGATCTTCTGGGAGGCACAGTGAGAAAGTGAACTTGCTGAGCTGTTCAGCCAGCTGTGGATAATAGGATCCAACAATATTTGGGAAAAGCATGGCTGTCCTCTACTGGCTTAGTACAAAGTATGTATGCTGGGATTTTGTTTCCATTTGCAATTCTATAGGATTTGCACTGTTACTTTTTTTTAAGTGCTGGACCCAGGAATCTGCTGAATTCTCAGCCCTTCTGTGAAAAGCTGATCACAACTCTCAGCCTTTCTACACAAAAATCTAACTGGATTTCTCCAGTTCAGCAGGACAGTTCTGGAAGTTGTTTTTGTGCAGAAAAACGAGTCAATTGGTGGCTTCTGTTATTTTACAATCACCTTCCTGATTTACTGCAAGCACAGGTGGCAATTGACCTGAGAATCTGGGGATCCTATGTTTGCCCTAGATAAGCGAGGATCGGCAGTTGTGGGCTTGGGAATCCGCCCGTCACAAATCTACCGTTACCACCAGCCCATCCCCGCGACTGAAGCCGGTGTGCTTTTGTTACAGAGACCGTTCCCTATGGGTAGAAGAAGCCGTTCCTTTGGCGCTGGTGGTCACAGCAGCGACAGGGAGAGTGACTCAGACCAGGCTCCAAAGGCGTCACCGCTCCTAAAACAAATAGTTGGAGATTTTGGCGCCTAAGAAGCGAGCCTTTTTCTGAAGGCTACGACTACGAGAATTAACTTGACGTTCTCCCTTCGCATTTCCTCAGGGGAATCGCCCAGTCCCTAGCTCGGACCCCGTTGTCCGAAAGTGTGAAGAAAACGCACCCATCAGATCAGCTGGTTAAAGTTTACGGGGCGGCGGGGTGGGAGGGGATTTGATTCTTTCTCTCTGTTAAGTTCCTTTCCTCCTGCTCTGAAGACATACCTCCCACCCTCTTCTGGCTCCTTTCCTCCCTGATTTCAGAGGAGCCGGCTTTTACCGATCAGCTGGCTAACCGTCCTCGCTTTTGTGTCTCTTTGTCCCTGAAGCAACGTCGGGGGGGCTGCCCTCTCAGGCTCGCCTCCTCCCCTTGGAAGGCAGGTCCCACCAAGACTTGCCCGTTGACTTTGCTCGGGAGTAAGAGCCGCTGAGCTCAGGGACACCTACTTCCAAGGAAACCGCACGGGAGGGGGAGCTGTAGGGATTGGGGCTTCCACGGAGGGGAGGGGGGCTCCTTACGCAGGTGATGAGCGCAGCGTAAGTGGAAGGTGTCGCAGCCGTGGACGTGGTGGTAGAGCGTCTTCTCGATCAGGTCCTGGGGCTCGTAACCGGTTTGTTCGGCCACCCTGCAGGATGGAGAGAGAGAGAGAGAGAGAGAGAGGATGAGAGAGAGATGACGACTCTCGGTTGCTTTGCCTGCCGGGGTCGGCCCCGGGCAAGGGACAAGTCAGCCCGGGCGCAGAGTCCTACCGTGAGTCGAGGAAGATCAGCTTCATATCCAGGCTGGCTCGGAACATGAACATATTGCTGTGCAGCTTGATCTCCGTCACGGCGCTGGGGGGCAGAGAGTGGCCCACGGCCACCAAGCCGACGTTTTGGTAGCAGCCATCGAAGGGGGACATGTCCAGGCTATACTGGCGGATCTTTAAGTAGCCGCTGCAATGGATGACCTGTGCCGGCGGGAGAGGAGGGGGTGGAGGGGACACAGAGATCCCGTCCAGTCAGTAGCCGTATACGATTGCTAGGAGGTCAGTGGTATAATTTGGGGGCACACGACATGAAATGCCACCAGCTGCTCTCTTCCTGGCTACCGGTAGCAACAACAATAATGGCAAATTAAAGAGTTAAGTACAAGAATCTGCAGCCTCCTTCTTTCTAATAGTAAGGTAAACCCATAGAAATCACTTCTTGCTCTGGAGCATATCCCGTTGAGCCAAGGACTTGTTTGCTTCAAAGCAAATAGGGAAAGGATCCAGCATGAATCCAGTTTGTATTTGCAAGACAATGCCAGCTGTTGACTTGAACATCTGAATGAGTGGTTAGAGACAGGACCTTTTGTTACCTCCTCCCCCTTCAATGAGGTCTGCTTGCACGCTGTTTTGTGACATTTCCGTTGCCCCTAAAATGAAGACATTCCTCTACTGCTCTCGACTTAGAAGGTGTTAACTCAGCTCAGTCTTTTGGGTGACCTTAGAAGACAAGTCAGACGCCAACCACCCTAAGTCCTACCATGACTTAGCGAGGTACCTGCAGGCCTGAACGAGCCCAGGATGACATAGTCCCTAATGCCTCCCATTCTAATGAGTCAACATTTTTCCATTAATATTTCAGTGGTATGTGGACCCTAAGTCCTACCATGACTTAGCGAGGTTCCTGCAGGCCTGAACGAGCCCAGGATGAGATAGTCCCTAATGCCTCCCATTCTAATGGGTCAACATTTTTCCATGTAATATTACAGTGGTATGGGAGGGGAAATGAAAACTGTATCTCCCACCATCAAGCAGATGGCTCATGGCCCTATCATATGCACATTTATTTGGGATTAAATCCTCCAGCATTTCATGGTTCTCACTCCCAGGTAAGTGTGAGAGGGACTGAAGCCTTCAGTCACTAAACTGGGAATAAATCCACTATCATATCATATGCACATTTATTTGGGATTAAATCCCCCAGCATTTCATGGTTCTCACTCCCAGTTAAGTGTGAGAGGGACTGAAGCCTTAACTGGGAATAAATCTTGCTGAATTCTGTCATCACACCTCTGAGCAGACACCTAGAGTATTGAGAGGTTAGTCTCTGTGCACCCATCCTAGACTGATTGGCAGGACAAGGAGCTTTACATATGCACATTTATTTGGGATTAAATCCCCCAGCATTTCATGGTTCTCACTCCCAGTTAAGTGTGAGAGGGACTGAAGCCTTAACTGGGAATAAATCTTGCTGAATTCTGTCATCACACCTCTGAGCAGACACCTAGAGTATTGAGAGGTTAGTCTCTGTGCACCCATCCTAGACTGATTGGCAGGACAAGGAGCTTTACTAGGGAAACAGAAGTACAAAGTCTTGATGGAAGATGTGGCTTTGGAATAACATCCTGTGGATATCCCAAGAGTTTCTGCCAGACTGCTTTACATCTGAGAGAGCAAAGGTGGGTCAGAAATTCTCACTCTCTGTAGAAAGACTTTCCAGAATTCAACTGGTGAACCTTTGGCCCTCCAGATGCTTTGGGCTTCTGGCCAGCATGGCCAAGCGCCCAGGTAAGGGATTATGGGAGTTCTGGTTCGAAACATCTGGTGGAGCAAAACATGTCTCTGTTCTGTTTTAAAAAAGAATTAATTGCAGAGCTGATCCTTCTGTTTTGCTTTGGAGACAAAGCTGGTTATTTCCATAACTGGATCTATGAAGGTTGGCTGGATAACTCGGTGAGTTAAATATCTGGCTGCAGAGCAAGAGGTTGAGAGTTTGATTTTCCACTATGCCCCGTGGGAGGCAGCCTGTGTGGCTTTGGGCGAACCACACAGTCCCAGGGCGCTCCCAGAAGAAGGGGATGGTAAACCACTTCTGAGTACTCGCTACCTAGAAAACCCTGGAAACAGTCTCCATAAGCCAGAACTGACCTGGTGGTATGCAATTATTATTCTCCAAAGAAGAGTATTGTCAGTATTTTTTGCTCATTAGCCTTACTCCCAGTGAAATATGTCCTCTGCAAATCAAGGTAATGTTGTTTTGTCAGAAACACAGGACTGTTAGAAAGTACCCCAATGCAGAGAAGGATCTGTCATGCCAAGCAAGTGGTTAGAGGCTTCTTGGAGCATGATCCAGCACAGTTCTACTGACAGCGAAGTCCCACAAACTTCAATGGGATTTGTTCCTTGGAAAGAGTGTACAGAATTGCAACCCTAAATAGAGCTGTGATCAGATTCCAAATGCCTTTACTCTGGAATATTGGACTAAGAGCACAATCATAAATGTTTGCATACTTATTTGGGATGGAAATATTGGACACTTAATTTCATTGAATGTTTTCTGCTAGTAACTGCTGATAAAATCGCACTGCAGGTTCAGAAATGCTTACAGTGCTAGCCTAACCCTCCACATACTTACTTAGGAGCAGAGCTCCCTTGGTGAAACTTCGGCACTCTCGACATCATGGACTACAACTCCCAGAGTCCTTTATCACTGTCAAGGCGAGCTAAGGATTCTGGCAGATGAAGTCCAAAACATCTAAAGCGCCAAAGTTTATTAAACCTGCATGTGGATCTTTCCCACAAACAGGTGTGGATATAATTCCTGTCTTAATCAGAATTAACGTGGGGAGAAGAATGAGGTTTACTTCCAAATTACTGCCAGTCAAATCGTGGTATAAATGTGCTGAAGGGAGCTTTAACCACTACGGAAGAGGACCAGCTGTTCTGCCTTATGTCATCCCGGCAGTGAAGGACGCGGGCAGTTCTCCGGTCAGCCACTAGTTGGCTCTCTTGGGTCCACCCACCTTATAGCCGCCGCAGGTCAGGCCCGCGTTCCTCTTGGCCAAGACGCATTTCATCCTTAAGAAAAAGGAGCGCTCGATCTCGTATTCTAGGAAACAAACGAGGGGCACAATGCGCAAGTCAGGGAAGAGGGGGCTCCCCGCCACCCGCCGCTTCCTTCCTTCCCACCCGCGGCTTTACCCGGTTAACTTTACCCTGAACGAAGTGGGAATGGTAGGGCTGGTGGGCGGTGAGGACAGCGGTCATCTCGTCGTGATCGGCCGGGTGGATGTATTCGTAAATGCTGTTGCCAGTCAGCTCGACCTGCAAGAGAGGAAGCAGAGCGAGATGGAAAAGGCGCTGCCTTTTTCTTTCCACTGCCTCCCTGTCTTCCTCGGGCCCTTTTCCCGCCGTCTATGAAGCACACGAAGAATACAAGAGAAAGGAATACACGAGGTCCGTGAAAACGAGCTGGAGCAACGGAGAGGCAAGATTGAAGGAATACACGCGCAGGCTGAAGACAGCAAGCCTCTCTCTCCCTAAGTTTGCCTCCTTTCCGTTCCCAATGAAAACTAGCCTACCTCGCAGGGCAGCTTGGTTGGAGAAGTTCGCCCTGGGGTAGGGAGTCTTCAGACCTCCAGATGTGTTGAGATCACAGCTCCCATAATCTTTTGTGCCGTAGTTGATATGCCAAACATCTAGAGCACAAAAGGTCCCTCTCCCCTTCCTTAGACAGGAAGGCTAAAGAAAATTATGGAAAACATGTACCGTTGCAGAAGCCTGCTGAAGATGGGCTGTAAATAGAAGAATCGCCATTGGGCCACACTGAATAGCCTTAAATGTGGAATGTATTTCCTGTGCTCATATTTGTCCTCTCGGTATATTCATTTACTCCTATTCCTTGTGTATTTGTTCTGCAGGCAACTAATAGAAATACCACGACCCAAGCGAGGTGTCCAGGGGCCACCGGCAAAATTCCCTGCTGTTATCATATAACTCATCATGCTCAGGAGCAGCCAGGAAAAAGCGGAAACCACCTGTAAGAGGGAGGAGTGGTACTCCCGGCAAGTAACTTGGCAGGAAAGATTTGAGCTGGATCTGTTTCTAGCCAAATTCTCCTGGACCTGCAACTCAGTTCTCTGTATGATTTGTCAAAAAGCTTCGCTCTCCCCATGGTGGTGAACCTCTGTTTGAAGCCAGAGATGGGTATCTGCAGTGTGACCCACTGCAGAGTGTTGGACTACAACTCCCATCCTTCAGCACAGTTGGCTACACTAACTCAGTGCTAGCTGGATATGAAGTTCAGCAACATCTTGAGGGCCCCCCCTTTCCCATGAATCGTTGAGGCTTTGCTGCTTTTGATTGCAAGTGTGGGGGTGGCCTTGCAAGACTAAATGCTCCTCCCTGGCAACATACAGATGTCTGAGCTTCCAAAACTAAGATGACAGAAGGAAAGGTAGGCTAGCCAGAGCTGGGGAAATGTCCCTTTTGGGACTGCAGATTGCAGACTACTCCACCAGGGTCTACAGTGTGGGTCTTCTCTCAACAGTAGACTGAAAGATTAGCTTTCCCATTCATCACCTTCTTCCCTTCTGCCCCCACCCCCAACCATTTCATCTATGGAGATAAGCATTTGTAAGGTAGAGGAGAAAAATCCCAAACTCCCAATAGTATTACAATTCCAGATAAGTTCCCCTGGGTTCAAGTGGCTTGCATCGAGGTAAAAGTCCATGGGGTAGAGTGACTTATGAGAATGGCCTCTGAAGTCAAGGCCCACAAAGCAGCATTTACTAAATTATTTAATCCCCAAAGGAGTAAGACAGCTCTGCTATGTTTGCTGGCATGTGTGTTGATTCTACTGATGAAGTGGGTTCTAGACTTCAGTTCCTCCAAAGCCAGGCACATTGAAGTCAGTATCAAAGAGACCATCCTATATGTCTTCACTGGGAAGGAAGTCTTAACTGGGCTAGGTGGACCAAACGTACCAATATCTCTGTGCCTTAATAATTACTTCCTTAAACATCGTAAGAGATAAAAACAAACATAAAACATAAAAATAAAAGAACAAATAAAAGAGAAAAATGTGGTGGCACCTTAAAGACTCTTAGATTTTAATGTGAAATCATATCCACTGAAATGAATGAGAATAGGCAATTGTTGTACGCCAGTCAGAGACCATTGGTATGGCGCAGCAAAAAAAATCTTGTAAATAAATAAATAAACACAATCCTATACATGCTTATTCAGGAGTAAGTCCCTCTAAGTTTAGTAGGGCTCACTTCCAATTAGACTGGGTTTCAGCTGTCAAACTAATAAACAGTGATAAGATCTGAAGAACAGATTTCACTCTCCTGCCTCTAAGACTTCAATTGGGACCAATGTCCCCGTGAATTACAGTATATGTACCAAACCTGCTTCTCACCCATTCATCTTTCTGTGTCTCCCTCCCACCGACCCCCCCTCCACCAAATTCAGTCAAGGCTCTGTGGAACCTACCTGTGATAAACCCAAATGAACAGAGGCCGTCTCAGAGATGTACATAATCTTGCCGTCTGGGGCCACCACAAATATGAAACCATCCAAGGTCTGCAAGGAGAAGGGTGCAAACCAAAAAAGGAACAGTGAAACTCATTATCCTCCTCTCCACCCCACTCCATCCCCAGATTTAACAAAGGAGGCCCAGCAGGTTCCACTGCGACCACAAAGAGCAGGAGAAACACCTTTTAAGAATCCCATTATGATTTGGTAGATCAGAAGGGTAGGAATGGTACAATGGATGCCGTCTGTGCTAAGGAACATTCAGGCCTTGACCGTTATAAAATGGGCACTCAACTGCAATCCCGTATTGAATTTCCAGAGGGTCAGTCCCAATGAAGCAAACAGGGTTTATTTACTTTCTGTGTGGGCACAAACAGGATTGCTGATGTAAATCCAGCCAAATCTCCTTAGGTATAGGTTCATCCAGCACCTCCAGCACCTGCTCCAACCAAAACTGGCAATTTTCCAGGGGTCCATATGGTGGCTGTGAGAGTC